GCGTAAGAAAGCAAACGTCTTCTCTTAAATCCTGACATTCGTCAATGTCAAATTAACAGCTGCAAGAAACAAGTCTGTGTGAACCGAGTCTTGGTATTTTTTGGACCAAATACTACATACGATGACATGACCAATACTCACACAATATTTCTATGATTTAAATCGATGCTATTTAGCCTAAGCTACCGACAGCATTGTATAATAAAAAATAAATACTAACTAACTAACTAGATGGCTTACCGAACCCGAAGGTTCATCACCGAATTAACCAAAGCCCTCCACCGGACCCTGTCCTGGGCCAACAAAATCCAGTTTCCTTCAACTCCTATCTCCCATAGATCCCGCCTGAGATTATCCTCCCATCTACGTCTAGATCTCCCCAGCGGTCTCTTCCCTTCAGGCTTCCCGAACAATACCCGGTGCACACCTCTTGTCCCATCCATGCGCGCTACATGCCCGGCCCATCTCAATCTTCTCGACTTAATCACCCTGACAATACTGGGCTTCAACTCCTATCTCCCATAGATCCCGCCTGAGATTATCCTCCCATCTTCGTCTAGGTCTCCCCAGCGGTCTCTTCCCTTCAGGTTTCCCAACCAGTACCCGGTGCACACCTCTTGTCCCATCCATGCGCGCTACATGTCCCGCCCATCTCACTCTTCTCGACTTAATCACCCTCACAATACTGGGGGAGCAGTACAGATTTTTAAGCTCGTCATTGTGCAGTTTTCTCCACGCCCCATCGTCTTCCCTCTTAGGCCCAAATATCCTCCTCAACACCCGATTCTCAAACACCTGCAATCTGTGTTCCTCCCTCTGAGTGAGAGACCATGTTTCGCACCCATACAAAACAACAGGCAAGATTATTGTTTTGTATACTTTAATTTTCAGGTTCTTAGAAATCAGACGGGAAGACAAAATATTTTGGACTGAGAAGTAGCAAGCATTTCCGGAATTTAGTCTCCTCCTAACTTCCTCACAAGTATCATTTTGATTTGTTATTGTTGTTCCCAAATATTTGGACTTTGTAACCCTTTCAAAGGATTTATTAGCCACCCTAAGATAATTTTGCTCGCCTGTCTTCTGATGACGAGATACTAACATGTACTTAGTTTTTTCTGAATTTACTTCTAGCCCCACCTGTCTACTAGCCTCTAGTAAAACTTCTGCGTTCCTCTTTATTGTATTTATATCGTCCCCCAATAAATTAATATCATCAGCATATGCCAATAGCTGATGTGTCCCGTTCAATTGCAAACCCTCCTGCCTACCTTGGACCTTCCTGATGGCGTATTCTAGCGCAAAGTTAAAGAGCAAGGGAGACAAAGCATCTCCTTGTTTTAGACCGTTCTTGATGAGGAATGTCTCAGATACATATTTACCTACTCGAATTTAAATAAATACTTTAAATATGACCGTCGTAATAAATTCACGAAGGATAAGTTTGGCAGGGCATTCACCGCACGGACGTTGCGAACATTCGGATTTCTTGACAAAATTCATCTAACTCGACAATGGATTTTTCCAAACTAAATTTCTTCTCTGCCCATTTCTGAAAAAAAAAACCTTCCCTTATTTTGGACGTTATATAGCGGTCAACATGACAAGATGATACATACCATACTTAAACATTTAACCGAATCAGGGCCAAGAACATGGAGGTTATGAATAAAACAGATCTTAGGAGAACAGATTGACAAGAATAGTTTAAAACTGGCTCAGAATCGTGTCTGTAGACGAGATTTGGTATCAGCAATGTTCCACAGTCCAGGCTGAACTGCTTAGCAGAGATTTAAATAGACGTCTAGCACGACTCTTCACTGGAGACAGCTAAAGTTTGCAACAAGTAATCTATGGTCTGGCACGTTTAATATTTCGAGTCTCAAGACACGAATGGTGTTAAGGAATTACTACGCAAGTTAACGCATCCAATGATATTTACGTTTCCGATCAGGTTTCTTACTCTTAGTAAAATGTGAGCCAGCAATCACGAGACTCCATCCCATGGAATTGTGTGAATGGCATTCTTTCCAGACGCTGCGCGGCGCCACGTCTGAGCCATTCGAGCCTGGTTTCTTGCTATGCAACAGCGAACACCCGGAAGCATTATCCCGTCAACTACTCGTTCCGTTTCACCCGTGACACAAGACTTTAACTTAAGAAGTCTGCTTTTAAGTTGTCTCTTTCATTCTGCACCTAGTTATTTTTCATTTTTAATTTCCTTTCTCCTTCTTCGATCAACTTCGTTTCTCTAAGTTTTTTCTTTGCTACATCGGCACTCCTCCATTTCATTCCTTATTCCTTTTCAACATTACCCTATTCATCCTTCTCTTACACTATGGCATCATCATCATCATCTTCGTCTTCTTCCTTACGTTCTTATTGTCTTCACTTTCTTATCCAGCATTTTCTTGTTCATTACTTTTCTGAGCTTAAGTTTCACTGGTATCTTGGTCACCTCTAACCATACACGTTTTCTACAGGCCTAACCTACCCAGAGAAGGGACAGAGCACTGGACCAGTCTATTATAAAGCAACAAAAACAGAACGCGGACGAAACATCTCTCTCTCGAACCCAGGCTGCCTAGACGTTTCAGACACCTTAGCAATCGAAAATGGCATTAAAACGTAAACACACTGAGTGGCATTACTAAGACATTAATAAAACCGAACGTCACACAAAAATCTCTCTCTCTCTCTCTCTCTGCTTGAAGTCTAAGAAATTAAATAAGGAATATTCTTATTCCATAGTTACGACTGTGATAATGATTTTCTGAACGTTTTATGTACTCGGTAATGGTTGATTTAGTTTATTATTTATTTAGTGTTCTGTCTGACGACAGGTCCATATGAACAGGATCCTTCCATCCTTTTCTCGGACTGGGACCTGTTCATATACGTTCTTGGCAGATGATCCAGAAGTGGTTTGCCATTGCCTTCTTCTGTGTGAATGGAGTAATTGTTGGGATGCCACGGAGGAAAACTCCGTGTTGCCTAGACCACGGCCTTGCCCAACACAAGTTATAAATTCGGGCACCGCTGGGAATCGAAACCGAGACACCAGGATTACAAGGCCAGCGTTCTAACCGCTAGATCACCGTGGCTAATGGTTGATTTATGATTTATATATGTTTAACATTTCGTACAGCAGGAAAATGTTACCTGCTACAGAGGAAAACGCTCACGGAAATGAGTAAAGTTTAGGAAGAAACTGACAGCATGCTCACGTTGAAGTCTGGAGAAGGAAATTTGACATGGACACCAGAGCAGCAGAAGTGAGATTTGTAAGGAGTGCAGAAGGAAAAAAAGTAAAACGGAGTAAACACGAAACGAATAATTAGCGAGAACGCAAAGTTAAACACCTTGAAAGACAAGTCATCAAATAATAATAATGGTTTTTTTTGGGACACAATTATAACAAACGAAGAAAGTTTAGATAAATAAGATTAAGTTGAGTTACCTGTATTGAGATAGGAACTACAGATTTCACACGGAAAAAAGGAGGAACATCGGAAGAAAAGTGAACCTACACGTAACTCGAATCCCATTTGGTATTAACAGAAAAAAAAACCTAGCAGAACGTTTTATGTGTTTAAACATAAGTCAAATATGAGATGTGCCGAAAATAACTGCGATGTATCGAATCGCCACAGATCTTTTGGACATTTTTCGGTATACAAAAATCCAATCTTTCTTTTTTATCAGTTCGTCTTCCTTGGGTTCAGAGACCAAGCGTGAATGGGAACGCAGTTATCGAGGAACATGAATGTAACACTGTTTTTTTTCCATATTAGTGAAGCATTTCTAAATTTCATTCAGAACGTACACGGTTTGAATCCAGGCCGGGTCCCCACTTATTTTGTAGACTGCGTGTTTTCCTGAGTCTTTCAAAGCAAACTTCGAACTGAAGGACGCCTTGACAAAGTCCTCATTCACAATTCATAATCATCATTTTTTTTCCAAGCCGATTAACATGAGTAACTGAAGCAGCAAACATGGCAACTGCAATGGAACTACTAGTGCAATCTATCGGGGATTTAGTCAACGAAAAGACACGCTAGAATACAAGTGCCACGAGATGTCTCCATCTTCAGGGTTGAAAATAGAGTTGAAAGAAGAATATACTGACAGAATCTACGTTAACTACGCTCACTTTAAATTCATTAATATCTTAAAAAAATTGTTTCCGTGAAGAACTCCACGTGTTTCCAAGAACTCGCCATTTGATCGCACCCTCAGGCAGATGAAGCCAGATCATCCCCTTGTAACATGTTTAATATCCACTTTTACATCATTCGTCAATACACGCCCTGAATTACAACTTACGTCTTCCATTCAGGTTTCTGGATCAAAATTTTGTATATTTTATGATCTCAGGGTAGTGGAGACGATCTTTCAAGTTGTGACCTCGTTTGTACGTGTATGGAGACAGGCCTACCAAGATTTAGGGCGAAAACTACCACATCTTCGGGGCTTACTATAGAGACAGTATATTTTCGAAAACGTAGGTACCTCCTACAATCTCTACGAACCATCAACTTGTAAAGTCTAGTGGAAACTTTAGGTAGCATGTTCTTGAAAAATCAATGGTTCTGCTTTTCTCTCACAAAGCGTATTTGTTGATTTCATGTGATTCTCAGAGTAAACAGCGAGTTGTTTCCTTAAACATCGTTAACTGATTTATCTTTGCGGCAGTGGAGTGAATTCATGAATATTAATTCGACGAGCTTCGACTTCAAAGGCTTAACGTACTATAATTTAAGCGATTTGGACATCCTGTCCGTTGATCATGCTAATCTCAGCAGGTGGAACTGTGAACACACATCCCATTAGCCTCAGTATTCACTTAGGGCGAGTCTAGTTTGAACCCATCAAGCTGTGATTGTAAGTTCGCGTGACTTTTAAGCCCTAATTTTGCCTTCATTTTTTTAGTGACAGGGAGGAGC